TATTTTAATGATTTAGAACCATACCTAATAATTTAGTAATAGATCATGTACAAGCTGTTAGTAAATTACTTACTAAAGACTTGTTAAGTATCAGTTAATAGTTTATATATGTTATTGGGACGTAATTCTAGTTGCAACTATTCTTCATTTATAAACTGTTAGTAAATGAGAAATAGTTGCAACTTTAGAATAACGTCCCAATAACATAAATAAGCTAATAACAAACACTTAACTAATATATTAACTCACCCTTTAAAGATCAGTTGTTCATATTTGTTTACTATCTAATAGTACCAGTGAAACTTTTGAATAACTTTTCTAATAAAAGAAATGTTATATATTTATTGTTACTAGTTAATGGACTTTTAACTAGTTATATCGGATAGTTATCCTAAAGTGTTACCAACCCAGGTCAGCCATTTAGCAACAAAGCTAGAGTCACCGGGCAAACAGAAGGCGAATCTGCATCTATTGTGAAGTGAATTTGACGTGTGAATAAGGCAAGTTAACTCAAAATGTTCATGCGTCTATTTCCGCATGATTTGTTCATTTGTTCCGCTTCTGGTGTAAACAAAGCATACCTGGTATTAACGGTAACACTTTACAATAAGGTTCATTAGTTAATGCATTTACTAACATGAACTAATCATGAACAACACTTGTACAGCATTTATTAATCATAATTGAACATTTACTAATGCATTATTAACATCCAAGTCCATGCTTTTTAACATTAGTTAATGCTAACAATGAACAGCTGTATTTTCATTAACTAACAATAACTAACATCAACAAATACTGTAGTAAATTTATTATTCGTTGTTTGTTCATGTTAGTAAATACATTAATTAACCTTAACTAATGAACCTTATTGTAAAGTGTGACCATATTAACGTGTGCTAAAATGACTCTTGTAATCACTTGTGTTTGAATTTCATCAAAACCTGAAAAAAGTCCCCATTTAAAATTTTAATTGAGCATCATTTACTTGCGACCATATTAAAGAAGCACATCCTAACTGTTGCAACGCGCCAACAATGTTGACAACAATGATTTCCTGTTGTGTCGTCACCTTAGAATTATAGGGGTCTATCTGACATTTTTGTCAAAATTGAATTTTTGATATATTTTTATTAAATGAAAAATGATTTACATTATCTACATTTTAAGACGTTTTATTTAAAAAAACAAATGTTACACACACATACTGTTTGCTATTAATTTTCTTGTCGGCTAGTCCCTTTATTAATCCGGGGTCACCACAGCGGAATGAACCAACAACTTATCCAGCAAGTTTTTACGCAGCGGATGCCCTTCCAGCCGCAACCCATCTCTGGGAAACATTCATACAGACACTCACAAATTTCGGACAATTGAGCCTACCCAATTCACCTATATTGCATGTCTTTGGACTGTGGGAGAAACCAGAGCACCCAGAGGAAAACCACGAGAACGCAGGGAGAACATGCAAACTTCACACATAAACGCCAACTGAGTCGAGGCTCGAACCAGCGACCCAGCGATCTTCTTGCTGTGAGGCGACAGCACTACCTACTGCGCCACTGCTTCACTCACTGTTTGCTATAGGGAATTCTAAAACTTTGAAGCTCAATATCTCAAAATAATTTAGACACAGATAGAACCTTATAATTCCAAGGTGACGATCTGTTGTAAGATAAAAATAGAAAACCACAACAGAAATTCATTGTTCTCAAAATTGTTGGCGTGTTTTTCTTAACACTACAAACCCATGGCTTTCTCTTTCTCTCCTATACATTTAAAGTCCTTAATGTTACCTTCAGCATCCTTTAGTGTGTAAACTTGCTGTCTGAGCAGGAAAATATCTGCAAACTTACAGTACAAAGCACAGCCTACTCCAAAGGGAGTTATTCTCTATATTTGTAACACTGTTTCTGAACTCCCCAAACACCTCCGTTGTAGTCAAACATCTGAATTTTCTTTTAGGAACGTGCATGACGCATTATTCAGAATTTAAATCATTTCCAGCAAAAAAAAGAGGCCGTTGTTGAATTGTGTTAGTACTGTGTTGTTGCCTGGTTCATGTACTTATCATGCTGATACACTTGCAATTTTTCTCTAAAGGTTTATATTCTTAGAAATAGCCAACATTGACATGATCATGTTTGTATTTGATGCTTCATGTCTGCGTGCTCAGGAAATGGTTTATCAGGAGTTAAGACTGACAAGACTCTGTGTGTGGTTTTCAGATTAAATATGGCATAAGTTGTAAAGGGTTGTTTGGCAGGGAGCAGCAGCTCATTTGCATTTAAAGAGACACACAGAAACAGCATGTGTTTTTTTTTTTTTTTCACACCAAAATGATCACTTACAGAAACATGTAGTATACACTTTTATGGGGTGTTCACACCAGAAGCAGCTTGTGCAAATAAATCGTGAACAGATCCAAGACACGTGAACATTTTGAGTTTACTCACTTCATTCGTGCGTTAAAATCGCTTCACAATAGACGCAGATTAATGTTATGGGCGGAGCATTTGTCTGCCTGGTGAATCTAGTTTAACTGCTAAATGGCTAACATGGATTTTATTGAGAGAGTAGCTGTGCTATATGCACTTTAGGAAGGCTGAAAAATCAACATAGATTCATTCGGCGTCATGTCTGAGTCCAATAGATACTGATTTCAAAAGTGCACCCAGCTCTGTGAGTTAATGAACTCCTCCAGAAACTATACCTGGATGATGGAGGCTTTCAGTGGTGCTTTCGACTGAGCCCAGTCCAGTTTGACGAGATGTTGTCCAGTGTCGGCAAGAGAACTTCCTCTCGTGACACCAACTGCAGGCTCTATGTTATAATCATCCTCATATGGGCAAGCTCATGAACGTGGTGCGAACATCTGCAAAAGTTTAGATTTTCCAATTCAAGCAATTTGCGCGTTACGCACGCCAAAAGTGCAAAACGCTCAATTCGTGTTGCGTCGCAGTATTTTTATTCGTGTCTTTGTATTGACTTAACATATAAATCCCCCGCACTTGACGCTTAATCCCTGTCTGTTGTGAATGCATCATTAGACTATTTATTAGATTATTTACTGCAAAAACAGCAAGTAAAAAACCACATACATTCTTTACAGTTCACTACTGTAATATGCACTGCGCTGTGGCGAAAACAGAGGTTTGAAAACCTTTACAGTAACTTACTGCATGTTAGGACTTTGCTATATTCTACTGTAATCAATGTTATTAGGTACTGCTACTGTAGTTGAAGACAAAAATGAGACGGCTGATGACTAAGAAAATGCATTATAAGAAAATGCATTTGAAATAAGTGAATGAATAAAAATGACTTTTGTAAATCATTTAAATTGTATATTAAGACAATGAAAATATTGTCAATAAATACTGTTGTACATGAGGGTGACACGGTGGTGCAGTAGGTAGTAGTGCCACAAGAAGGTTGCTGGTCCGAGCCTCAGCTGGGTCAGTTGGCATTTCTGTGGGGAGTTTGCATGTTCTCACCGCCTTCGCTCGGGTTTCCTCCAGGTGCTGTGGTTTGCCCCACAAATCCAAAAAACATGTGGTATAGGTGAATTGGGTAAGCTAAAATTGGTCATAGTGTACGAGTGTGAATGAGTGTGTGTGGCTGTTTCCCAGTGATCGGTTGGAGCTAGAAAGGCATCCGCTGTGTGATACATATGCTGGATAAGTTGGCGGTTCGTTCTGCTGTGGCGACCCCACATTAATAAAGGGACTAAGTCGAAAAGAAAATGAATGAATGAATGCTGTACGTGATCTTGTTTGGAATTTAATAAATTAGTAAATAAAATTTTAATTAATTAAAAAAAGTAAATACTAAAAATAAAGGTTTTGTACTGCTAGTGTAAAATGTAAATAAATTACAATTTAAGTAGTGTAAAAATTGTCACACTGTAAAATTTTAATGCAGTAAAGAGCATTTTACCACAAAAATAAGTTACTGTAAAGCTGATTTACTGTTAAATGAAACTGCAGTAGAGCTCTGCTACTGTAAAACACATTTACAGGTAAATTACAGTAACGTACTGTTACAGTAAATCAAGGGGCAGTTGTGGTACACTGCTGGCAATGGTTCTGCCAGTAAGTTACCACAAAAATACAATAAAATGTGTAACAGTGTATGTAAAAAAAAAAAAGTTGAGTGAGATAAGAGTTGAGTTTTATTTTTTTGTTGAAGACAAAAGACAGGCTTCCATTGACTACTATAGTCACAGCCATATTTTTTTTCCTACTATGGAAGTTGATGGATGCCAGCAACCAGCTTTTTTCCAAATATCTTCTTTTGAGTTCAGAAGAAGGAAACTCGTAAAGGTTTAAACCCACACAAGGGAGAATAAATCATTTTCTATTTTTGGGTGAACTATCCCTTTAAAATAGTTGCCTCTTTTGAAACCTTTATTTTAAAGAATGCATGTGACTATAAGCTGAATCAATACGGCTTGCAGTGATATGTACTGTGACCTCCTCTGTCTGACTATCAGGGCAGTCGTTTCCATTCAAGTGCTCTTGAAGATGAGACTTCACAGCTTTTCCATAAGCTAAATCTCATTTTTGGAAACATATGCAATAGGTTTGAGCCACAGCACAGACTTGACAGAAAGTGTTTCATAAGCTGCCAGATTTTCAAAACACCATTAAGAGTGCAAAGCGAATCTAAGCTTCTGCATGTTTGGAAATATAAACCATCTTTTGTCTTTTAAACAATGTAAACACTGCCGCTAACTTGCACGCGCACACTCAGAAATTCAGAAATCAATTAATTTCTAAAAAGAAAAAGACTCAAGGCTTTTCTTTTCTCTCATTATCTTCCTCCATCTCTTCCGATTCAACCTGTGACTTTATGACTTTGACTTCTCAAGCAAAACTTTTGGAAGCGGACCAGACCGGATCTTTTCTGTATTGTTGAAGGGTTACTGGAGAATTCTCTCGGGGGGGGAAGGAGAGACGTGTTGGATATACATCGGGAAGTAAAGGTCACAAACTCACCATCGCAGTCTCCGAGATGTGAGGTGTTTCCATATTCGACGTCCTGCACAAACGGCAATCTGCAAAACAGGACAAAACGGATTCTAACTTAAACTGCAAAATTCGCAGATCAGATACGCGACACATTAGATGAATGCAAATGCTACTAGTTAAAGGTGCAGTAGGTGATTGTCTTCAGAAACATTTTTTGTTGTGCTGGTTGAAAGTCTCTTCACAGTCCAATAGTAATGATTACAGTAAATGATCTAAATGTGTTTATATGTATTTTTACATTCTGGGTAAAGCATAAAACAAAAAAATGTTCATCCAATTAAATAGAGTCGGACCGATTCGGACTTCTGCGCATCTGTTCACGCAGATCCGCCATTAGCGCGTGCCCGTCTGCATCACAAACGAATGCGGGCCGCTCGCTGATGCCGAGTCGGAGCCAGAGGCAATGAAGGACAGACGAGCTCGGGCCGATTACTGTAAAGCCAGGCGCGGGTATAATTCGCCTTTAAAGCGGCCGCGCGGTCACGAGACGGACCGGGAGAAATCAAAAGCTGAATTGAAACTTTTAAAAACCTGAATCAGTAGTGGAGTTACTTTAGCACGCTGGAGAAAGGACGACACCATGGCTGAAGTATCACTGTTCGACAGGTAATGTTGTTTTAAAACTTAGTCAGGCTGAGCTTATGTTAGATTGTGTTGTTATGAATGACTTGTATGCACAGACGTTGTTCAGCCACTAGAATCTCCTGGTGAAAGATTGATGTGATTATTCTCAGTTTCATAAGGTTCATTGACAGCATCTATAATGTAGATTTATATTTAGTTTAACAACAAAACACCAGTAAATAGCGCTATTCCGCCTAGCCTGTTTTATTGAGCTGAAGTTGCTTTTATATTCCCATTGGGTCATTTTTGAACAATGACAGCCTCCTATACTGTTCACCATGCTACTCCAAATATTCGCTCTGATATAGCATGTACGTTAGTGTGACAAAGTAATTAATTTAATACCTGCACGGCGCTGGCACTAACTAACTGGTGAATGACATGAACTAGTGGGTTGTCTGTCTGCTGTTGTGACGCGGTGCGCGCGCGCTTGCGATTTAAGGGGTGTGGCTTTGATTCACAATCCCTCCCTGCCGTCCAAAGATAATATGCTAAGCGGTTAGCATTTTGGCAGATCACCTACTGCACCTTTAAGCAGAGTCAATTTCATGCGTCAGTGCATTCAGAACACTATTCAAAACACATCTGGTTCTGTTTTGTTTTTCAAGTCAACGACTTTTATTCCAGACACATGTTCTAGTGAGCAACAACTGTCACGTTTGGCTATACCTGATTATTAGTGCAATTGAGTTAAAGGTGAACAGCTACCTAGCTGCCACACAAAAACATGAGAGGAATGCTCTAAGGATTTTTTATTATTTTTTTATTATTTATAAAGAACCTTCTCTGTAATGTTGCTATCAAATAAAATGGTTATGCCAACTTACTACTGTAAGCAGAAGCTTGCAATGCTAGCCCGGCACTCAGAGTTCTTCTGATTGTTCCACAGCTTTGGAACTGACATTAATGAGTGGCGCTGCATGTAAAAGCTGGAATTTTTTTAACTTAACATGGCGTCTAAGGGTACGTTCACACTAGCACTTTTGGTCCGCACCCATGTTCGTTTGACATCAAAATATGGTACGTTTAGCTAGTGTGAATGCTGTCTTCTGAACTCAGGTGCACAACCGTGAACTGTACCAGAGTCCGCCAGAAAAACATGGTCTGGGGTACGGTTCGCGCAAACTCTGGTCCGCTATGAATGCAATCATACATACAGTTGATTTCAGAATTATTAGCCCCCCTAAATTATTAGCCCTCTCCTTCTAAACATAATAGTTTTAATAACTCATTTGTAATAACTGATTTATTTTATCTTTGCCATGTTGACAGTAAATAATATTTGACTAGATATTTTTTAAGACACTTCTATACAGCTTAAAGTGACATTTAAAGGCTTAACTAGGTTATTTAGGTTAACTAGGCAGGTTAGGGTAATTAAGCAAGTTATTATATAATGATAGTTTGTTTGAAAGGGGCTAATAATTTGTACCTTAAATGGTGTTTAAAAAATGAAAAACTGCTTTTATTCTAGCCGAAATAAAACAAAAGACTTTCTCCAGAGTAAAAAATATTATCAGACATAATGTAATAATCTCCTTGCTCTATTTAACATCATTTTGGCAATATTTAAAAAGGAAAAATAAATTCAAAGGGGGGTTTATAATTCTGACTTCAACTGTATATGTCTACTGGGAACGCGCGAGTGATTTAAAGAGAAATCGCACACTTAGAGTATACTGAGCATGTGAGCTACCTTGTGAGCTACGGTGTGAAAATGGCATTCTTTAGGCAGCTGTGTGTGTTATCTTATACTATATAGTTTAACTGTTTAAAATGCCGATTTTGGAGTATCTATTTAGGCTAAGTGCAAATAGCGCACCTCGTTGGAATAAGCTAGTCAAGTGCTTCTCTCCAAATAACAGTGGTGAACCTCCAACTGTACAACAAAATATAGATTTTAAAACTTTTATTCATGTGTGTGTATGTCTGTGTGTCGCCTAACATCCAAAAACGACTTCTACAGACATCGCGTGATGCAAATGCAAACATTTTGTAGAATTTCTGTAGGTGTGTGGAGTCCACCTCTATTGTGTCTTTGATGCAAACTCAAATAATTCAAATCAAACTAAAAGTTCACTTGGTTACAATATCCTGCAGGTAAACTACTGTAAGTGATGTGATGCTTTGTCTTTGGTGTAAACGCAGCATAATGGAAATAATATGTCGTCAGCATAAAGTCTGTCTAGCCTGTGTTTGCATTTTGCAGTGTTTTGCATTTTTGCAATGTTTTGTATGTTGGGAATAGGGAAGAAAGATGATTTAAGTGACTTTGAACATGGCATGGTTGTTGATGCCAGACGGGCTGGTCTGAGTATTTCAGAAACCGATGATCTACTGGGATTTTCACACACAACCATCTCTAGGGTTTACAGAGAATGGTCAGAAAAAGAGAAAATATCCAGTGAGCTGCAGTTCTGTGGGCGTAAATGTTCAAACGATGGCTATATACAGTACTTCCAGCAGGATAATGTGCTATGTCATAGTGTGAATCATCTCAGACTGGTTTCTTAAACATGACAATGAGTTCACTGTACTCAAATGGCCTCCACAGTCACCAGATCTCAATCCAAGAGCACCTTTTGCATGTGGTGGAACGGGAGATTCACATCATGGATGTGCAGCTGAAAAATCTGCAGCAACTGCGTGATGCTATCCTGCCAATATTGACCAAAACCTCTGAGGAATATTTCCAGTACCTTGTTGAATCTATGCCACGAAGGATTAAGGTAGTTCTGAAGGCAAAAGAGGGTCCAACCTGAACTAGTAATCTGTACCTAATAAAGTGGCCGGTGAGTGTTATATAAAATGATTTCATTGTTAATTTGAACAAAGACGGTGTTAACATTACAGGAAGATTATTTGTTCATAACTTTGAGAGAACTTTTCCAGATCATTCTCAAAACGTTGTTAGATGGGTTCATGCAACATTAATATTCAGTGGTGGTCATATAAACTTAATGGTAATTCCATTGCCTCTTTGAGGTGCATATCCACCACAGGACAGCATTCTTTCGCAACACTTAAGCCAAGCATCTATGTTTGTGTAGCGGATGTTTGTTGTTTTGTGTCTGACCTGGTGCCGGGTCTCAGGAGTGTGCAGGTGCTTCCTCTGGTCCAGCCGCAGTATGGATCTCTGGACGCAATGCAGTTTCTACACACAAACACACACACACACACACAATGTTCATCAATATGATTACAGAGGACAATACTGACCTCCTCTATAATGAATACAGAGGACCAAATAGAAGAGAAATCATGATTTATAAAGACTTCCAGAGACTGAATGAAAAGAGAGAAGCAGAGGCAGACAGAAACGACTCAGACATTCAGCCGTGCTCTTATTTCTTCTCATAAGAGTCTCTTCAAGGTTAAACTTCTTTTATAAAAAAAATCTGAACATATATCATATATTGTATGCCAGATATTTGCACCATGATTTAAAGAACTTTCATTTAGTGATACAAGCAGCTGTCATCAACACAAAATGTTTGTCTGTGAAGTAAACAAACACTGTAAATTTGATCCTTATTAAAGTTCTCCGTATTTTGTGATTCATGTTTTTATTTTTTATACTTTTCGTTAGTTTGTTTATGCTATTGAATTGCATTATGGGATCTTGACCTTTCTTCCAACAACTTTAAAAGGTTAAAAGAGTTTGAAAAAGTGACTTTTATTAATAGCTAAAAGTGATATATTGTCTGGGTTAATGTTGTATTTCACAGCACAAAAACATTTTTATAAACTGCCAGTACACTTTTTTTTACCAGTGATTTTTTTCAGATTTATTTCTCTGTATATTATTTCTTATACATCAAGGGTTCTCAACCTTTTTCACTTCGAGGCCTTTTTCACTTAAAGCTTTATTTATTAGCAAAACATTTCTTTTGCCTTCTATTATAACCTTATTTTTCTACATCATTTAAAAAAAAATGAAACATTGTATTTATATATATATATATATATATATATATATATATATAGGAATGGAGGGGTGCTGCTATACCACCCAAACAAAGTGTTTTTCTAATACATCTTTTTCTCCCACAGACACAGATACTACTCCAGACAGTAAAGTGTTACCCGCAATTGAGGCAACTCTCTCCTTATAGGGTGTTAGTTCAGCATCCCCTGTTCCATTGCCTCTTCGGTCCACAATTTGACGGTGCGCTGCTGTTCTTCTTTTAACCTGCACCTTTACATCGGACCATTTCTTTTTTCATTCACTCACAGTGCGATGTTCAGCCCCACTGCGTTAACCACGTCAGCTAAACTCTCCCACTCTATTTTATTATTTTTTTGTTATTAATTCCGGAGGACAAATAACACAGTTTTTCTCCAGTCTACCTCCGATAGGAGCACCTCCAATTCACATTCTGTAAAGTTTCTCTTTTTGCTTGCTTTTTTTGCCATTGCTTTTTCATTTGGTTTTGCCAAAGAGGAGTCATTACCATATTTATACGTGGGAGGAGGCAGGGAGAGGTTTTGCACTTGTGCATGTTGCGCTTAATTTCATGTTAATTTGGATGTACAAAGAGAATATATGTGAGATTCTGCATACGCAGTGTTTCATATTCCTGATTTTTTAATGCATGCGTACTTTTACAGCTTTGTCCATACACAATGTTTTAGTATTAGTTCAATGCAAGTCTTCGTACATGAGGCCCCTGGTGTAAAACTGCCATCACAAAGTAAATAAATTTACGTCTAAAAGCCTCATGAATTAAATACATTTACAAAGAAGAAAACGAAGGATGTTTTTGCAATAATTTTGGTTTGTCCACAATACAGTTTCAGTTAGTTCTAGTTTTTATTTTTATTTCAGTTAATGAAAATGTTTTTTCAATTCTAGTTTTTGTTTTATCGTTCGTTTTCATTAACTATAGTAACCTTGCTCTGGCCATGCCCCTTTGCTGCACGGGATGTGTGCACATTGTAAATACGCGTAACCTGATGCATTTGTGATCTCATTAACCCGGATGTATTTTTTGTAGTCCCCAAACTTCGTTTGCTGTTGGCTTTGCTAAGGTAATTCTGTAAATGCCAATGTCTCCCTTTGCCTTGAACTTTTAACATATTACATTAAGAGATGCCAGGGGTGGACTGGGACTAAAAATCAGCCCTGGCACTGTAGCCACACCAGCCCACATTACCGCACCGACACAGCCCCACCCAAGGACACGCACATTCATTGGTGTACAGATGGTAAAATTATATAAGCAGTACCTTATTCAAGAGATATTTAAACATTTAATGTATGTGACTGCAACAAAAGCAACCCATTTATATATGCAATCATGTCATTCATTTTCTTTTCGGCTTAGTCCCTTTATTAATCTGGGAATCAGCAACTTATCCAGCATATGTTTTACACAGCGGATGCCCTCAAAGCTGCAACCCATTATACTGGGTTACCCAAATCACAATTGGCCTACCCAATTCACCTATAGCATGTGTTTGGACTCGTGAGGGAAACCAGAAGGAAATCCACGCGAACATGCAAACTCCACACAGAAACACCAACTGACCCAGATGAGGCTCAAACCAGCGACTTTCTTGCTCTGAGGCGACAGCACTACCTACTGCGCCATCACACTGACTCCTTTCAAGACTAGTTCAGTAAATTTTATGTATTTGGCAATGTCTGACTTGACTGCCTTTCCCTTTTTTTTTTTTGCACTTACTGTTTGTTTGACATTCTTGCCAGATTTTGATTACATCCGAGTAGCCTCAGATTGGGTCGGCCCATCTCGAAACCAGCCGGTTGAAGCCAACTGTGCCAATGCTTAACATTTACTATTATTCTTACTATGTTCACCATCATCATCATAATATTCACATCTCGCACAAGATAAAAGCTGCCTACATTTAAAACACAATACATATGAAAAAATAAATAAATAAAATAGGTGACCGGCCCACATTTAAAAAATGGTCCGGCCCTTCTGGCATTTGCCAGAATTGCCAGATGGCCAGTCCGCCCCTAAGAGAGGCTGTTTATGTTTACACAGCTACATTACACATCAACTAAAGTTAAAATATGACATCATAGTGGACCACTTCTTTAAAATGTATGCAAATTAGTGCATACTTAACAAAACAATGTCTCATTTGCATGTGTAAACATCTGAAAACTTTCAATTCTTAATGCAATCAAATAGTGTATTAATTGTGCCACCCATGTCGGTGTGCTGTAGTGTGTCAGGAGTGATGTAAAGGGGCACAGATTGAGGATGGTGAGCTGGTGCAGATGGCAGGACTGTGCTTTACCGCAAGATGAAGGAAAGCGTCAGCAGACTCAATCACAGCCTCCGCCATTAATCACGGCTGAATTACACCAGAGCTTTATTGCTTCACAGGAAGAGCCCGTTCCAAATGTGCCGAACGGGATACGGGCCAGAACAAGTGTGTGTGCATGTGTGTGTGTGTGTCTGAGGGAAACTGTAAAAGCTGGGTCACAGTCGTTTCAAAGGCGCTGATCAAGCACTGTGCGTTTGGGTGGCACAATTTACTTTAAGATGGAAAATGAGAGAGCGCGTGAACGAGAGCGTGTTTAATCAGCGCAACAGTGTTATTATAGATTCATCAAAACTAAAACATGATACGAAAATGTTTTGAATTAGATACAAATAAAAAATTTTAAACATTACAATCTTCATACAGTTTGTTAAATGCAGATTAAAACCAGATTATTTTCCAGTTTCTTTAATGAATGTAAATTTTTTTTCATTTATATATATATTTTTTTTCAAATAACTATATGCTATTATACAACAGTTCTGTCTGGTTCTCAAATCTGATTGGCTGATAGCGGTTCGATATTATGCAATAACAGCACTCGTACAGCCTCTTCACTCTTGTGTATTACTCCGCCCACATAGAGTGACAGCAAATCAATAAACTCACAACAGTTTGATAAATATTGCAGCTGTTGGGCAACATAATGTACTTTTGAGGCTTTCTGAGGTGAGAATGTATTTGTTTAGATGAAAACTATGCAGTTTACTTATAAAGATAGTGCCTATTTTGAATATTTATAATTTCGGACGGCCATCTGCCTGTTATACTGAGCAGAGCAAAGATGGTTGTGCCACAAAATGGCGAAAGAGACCACATAATAAGTCCTTAGAGAACAAAATTAATTTCTAACTACAGCTGATCAAATCATTATAAAACAGGTAAGTAACATTTTAAGTCGATCTCTCTCTTTCGTATGTTGTAGTGCTGTATTTATACCATAGTAATCTGCTAGTGTTTGCTTTGGCTTTTTCACGGATAATTATTGTGATATCCCGAATGCAACAGAGAAACACTGGGAAATCTCTGTAGACTGATGGCATTTCATGCTGTTCAGCCTTATTACCTTAAAATGTGAGTAAAATCACCTGTTTTGTCATCACTTTAGACATTACGCAAGAGAATCATTCAAGTACTAGCTCTAAAGGGATGTTGGTGAAGTAACGGTTTCTGCAGTTCTCATGTCAGCAAATGTAAATGAAAGGTGGAAGAAAGTAGTTCCTTATACAAAAGGGTTTTGAGACTCTCCGTGTTTGATTTTCTTTGTTATATACACGATTATGCAGTTAAACTGTTGTATAAATGCAATATCACACTCAGAGCAGTGCGATATGGCTGTATATCATCACTGGTGGGACACTGAGGCATGCCACACCAGTGCCAACATACAGCCATATCACACTGTTACTGTGTCATATTGCTCATTCATAATTATAGTAATGATTATTGCTCATAATTATTTTGTATTTTTTCCATTTATATTTCGATTTTATTTATTTGTGTTAGTAACTCAATGTATTTTTGACACTTTTATTAGATGATCAACTAATAAAAAATAATTTTGTAGTAAAATACTGTATGTCGATAGTTTGTATTTATTTTATTTCAGTTTATTATTTACTACTATAATAATTTACTACTTTAAATAGTTTATACGTTATGTCAATGAAAATGACATATGTTGCACTGGCTAGTCAAACATATAGCCGGGATTGCATCTGAAGCAAATTATTGCAAAGTTTTAATTAGGTGTTTCCAGGGTGCGAATTTCAGGGGGAGTATTAGAGGGGATTGACACCCTTAATTAACACTCGATCCCTCCTGAAGGACATCTAATTAAAATGATAGATTATTTAAATATACACTATAATGTTTCCTACCATTTTAAATGCATCATCATTCTGTATGGCAACATATTCATCAGTCTGAAACCGGATGATCTACAGCAGGGGTTCCCAAACTTTTTAGCTTGCGACCCCCAAAATAACAATGCTAGTGACTCGCGACCCCCAATATCCTCTGAGGTGATATATACAGAAACCTTGCATGCAATAGCGCACACACACCAATAGACCCAAGTTTATTCTTAGTTTAATCTTTTTTTAATGTAAATCAGAGTTGTAAATGTGTCAGAAAGTTTACCCTGATATTATAAAATCAATCTGCTGCATCTGACGCCATTGGTGTGTCTTTAAAATTATGTAATTACACCAGGGGTCGCAATCCAATAGAACTAGTAACTATAAGCTAATGTAGTAACTATATAGTATATATTAACTATAAACAACAATTTTTCTCTTCAGTAGTTTATTGATAAAATATGGTAATTCTTATGGTTTAATATAAATAAATAGATTTTTGGAAATCACCAGGCGACCCCCCTTCATTGTCTCGCGACCCCTTGGGGGGTCCCGACCCCCACTTTGAGAACCACTGATCTACAGCACTGACAAGCAATGTAAGTGTCCACAAACCAATTTTCTTGTAAAATCGATGTTTGTATCGACATGTAACTAGTTTGTATTTGGTTATACACTTGCTTGCACATGGAAGTTAAACAGTGAAATAATAAATAAGTGTGTGGTCATCCACATATTGGAACAGGAATGCAAACTTGTCACTGTTTGTTCAACTTCAAAAATGTAATTGAGCACAACTGGCAATCGATTTTCATCAAAACACTGAAAACGTAAACACATTTTATTAACAATTTAATCAAATATATACATTTGGTTCACTGAGGCATATTATATAAACTAACATTAACAACCCTCTCCCCCCATTCGTATAATTCGCACCCTTTGTGTTTACATCGAATTGTTAAAGTGGCTGGCTGTAGTATTGGTTACCTAGCAACCAACAGTAAACAAAGCAAGAGTAAATGAGTCTGCTGATTAGTCATGTGGGTGTAATGTTTGCCAAATGCATTTCCATCTCCTGTTATTCACATTAAATCTTTTTCACACAAGTGCAAAACACATCAAGCAAGCATAAAAATGTTTCCTTTGCGAATTAAGGGACTTTTATTCCAAATTTGCAATTCTCATCGTTTTTTAAAGTGATACTTCATAATGCTGATGGAAACCCAGCATGTACAATTGAAGTCAAAATTATAATTTTTTTTTCTTCTTCAAATATTTGCCCAATAATTGCTTAATTAGAGCAATTAGTTTTTCTGCAGTATTTTAAAGAAAGTCTTATTTGTTTTATTTCGGCTAGAATAAAAACAGTTTTAATTTACTCCAACTATTTTAAGGTCAATATTATTGGCCACCTTAAGCAATATTTGTTTTCGATTGTTTACAGAACAATCCATTGTTATACATTGACTAATAACCCTAACTTGCTAAATTAACCTATTTAAGCCTTTAAATGTCACATTAAGCTGAATACTAGTGTCTTGAAAAATATCTAGTCAAATATTATTGACTGTCATCATGGCAAAGATAAAATAAATCAGTTATTAGAAATGAGTTATTAAAACTACTTTGTTTTAAAAATGTGTAAAAAATCTCCCTGTTAAACAGAAATTAGGGGAAAATATACAGGAGGGCAAATAATTCTGATTTCAACTGTATGCATGTGTGTGTGTGTGTGTGTGCTCTTACTTCATGCATCTGGAGTGCAGGTGGCAGCGAGCGACAGGCACTCGCACCACACACGAGTGGAAGGCCAGCAGGAGCGTGTGACTGGGTTTGTCCAAGGTCAGAGAGAGCGGCTGCATCGCCTGCGCAGAGTCATCACCACATCTACAGACACACACATACACATCAAAACCATCAATACAACCACACGTGCACTTTTACAGCTCAACACATCCTACAACACACTCATTAAAATAAAGTCTGACCGCCCAAACTCAACAGCAGCGCAAACAAATTCTCACACTCTGACATTTCACACACAGATAGATTAGCCAATCACTACTAAGGGTATTATGGTGGCTTGAGAAAGCCAACTTGCTGTTATACTACACAAACTTATTAATCTTCTTCCGTCTTCTTCTAAGACTATTTTAAGAACGCATCTGCTCCTAGACCGTTCATGCTACAACCACCAAACTAACTTCAAAAATTCCAAACTGTACTGAATTAAGTTGCTATATCTTCTCCAACTGATCCGACTTACAGTTTTCCAAAAACTGACCCGGAAAATTGCCATTGACTTAACATTGTACTAAACTTTGTGACCTCATAACTTAGGCTCTCAAAGTATGCGTCCATGACCGAAATGCGACATCCGGTGGACAGTAGCAGACTCCTAAATGAGACACAGATTCAGAAATCCACATGAGGTTATTCATTATCAAATAAAATAAATATTACAAGCGTAAACATTAGGTGAGCAGGTTACATTGTCCGAACAACACGCTTCGTGACGAGCGTGATAAGCAATTTGTCTGTTTGCAAGAGACAAAACACGACAGAATTTTAAACACAGCCATTCAGAAGCGCAGAATATGCACTCAATCATGACATGGTGGTTTATAATCTATTTAATTAACATTATTAAATGTACATGCTGAATCACTTGTTTGTGTTTAGTTCTTAAGTTCAATTTCCAAGGGTTTATGTTATTTTCAAGATCTGAGGTGAACTATTTGCTGCTGCTTTCAGTAGTATGGCAATATATGTCATGTAAAACGGCATTCAAACTCACATTATTAGCATTTTACACTGAATAAAGCACATGAGGTGTACCTGAGGTAATCATTGTCAAAGTTTTCTGTTGTTCATCTGTAAGAAATAAAAGCTAAAATATAAATTTCAGGTGTTAGGACAAAAACTCCTTTTAATATGGAGAATATTCCTTCTATCGTGTGCCGTTTCTTTTAGTTAGACCACTGTTTAAATCACTCACTCCTGTCTTCAATCTGGCAACCTGTGCTTGCGTTTGTTTTTATCTAGGAGTGCAATACCTAGTTCAACCACTGGGTGCCAAACTTACACACTGCACCTTTAATAAATTTTTACAAATTTAAGTGGATTGAACATAAATCAATTTTCAAGAGTTCACCCTTAGCTGATGATTGATAATAAAGCTTGTTTGGCATGCTGTCCTGGGAGAGCCCTGAGCTCAGGAGATCATCGAGCCCTGGGCTCTCTCCCGTTAGCAGGGCAGGAGGGGAGTTTGATTTCAGGTAGATCTCGGGCAGGCTTAATTTGTGCCGCAACACGCCGGACCCGGAACCTCAGAAATTTGATCCTCATTTTACCAATCTCCCTCCTCACCCGTCCGTTTCACTTTGTTCCGCTCTGGTTAATTATAGTGAGTTAGGAATCGTCTGATTGGTGAATCATGCATTAGCTAATGAGGGACCAGCTGTGGACAATCATAAGCATGTGATCCTCTCAAAATTAGTTTATAAATAAATTTCCAAGTTGTCCCAAAAAAACCTCAAGGATTGTGATGTGTCAGCTCATTTTAGATAAGTAGTTTGAACAAGCAGCTAAAATGTTTTTTTTTGTGTGTGGGCTGAATTCTCTCTCCCTCTTCATTAATCTTCTTCTATTGTACGTGACTGTAGGAAAAATAAGGGCAAACATTCCAAACAGAGAAAAAACTGCAGACTAAAGGAGACTCAATCAGAGCTGTTTCCAACATGCGTTAACTTTCAAGCTGCTAATAAGGCATTACATTACTACAACATCTCTGAGGAAATGACGTCAGGGAAACTCCCCAGCAGATATCAGACATACAATCTGAACACTGATCATAGCAGCCAGACGAATGAGACACATTAGGAGAAGTTGAGCCAGAGTTTTGGATGTCATCCAGTGAACACCTGAGGCAGGATAAAAGGTCAAGCAGACACACACTGATCTCTTTGTTTCAGGTGTGTGTGTGTGTGTCCTGCTGCGAGCCTTATCTCCACCGCCACACAACTCGCCTTCATCTCCCAGCATGCATCTCTCTGAACCTCACTGTTCTTCCTCCAGACAGGTACTGCTTTCATCTTCAAAACCCCAGCCATGTTTTCATCCATCAGAGCACCATACGCTCCGAATACACACACACAAACACGCACACACACAAACACACACACACACACACACACCCCCTCACACACACACACACACACACACACACACACACACACACACACACACACACACACACACACACACACACACACACACACACACACACACACAAAACACACACACAACACGCAGACAAAACACACATGCAAACAACAAGATACAAACACACACACAAAACACACATACACACACAAACAAGTAAGAAACAACACACACACAAACAAAATAAACACACACTTACACAAAACACATAGACACATGCACACACACAGACACATGCACACAAACACTCATACACAAAACATGCACACACACACACACAGACACAAAACACACAGACAAAACACACACACAAACCACAAGATACAAACACACACAAAACACAAAAACAAATAAATCACACACACACACACACACACACACACACACACACACACACACACACACACACACACACACACACACAAAACACACACACAAACCACAAGATACAAACACAAATAAATCACACACACACACACACACACACACACACACACACACACACACACACACACACACACACACACACAAAACACACAGACAAAACACACACACAAACCACAAGATACAAACACACACAAAACACAAAAACAAATAAATCACACACACACACACACACACACACACACACACACACACACACACACACACACACACACACACACACACACACACACACACACACACACAAAACACACAGACAAAACACACACACAAACCACAAGATACAAACACACACAAAACACAAAAACAAATAAATCACACACACACACACAAACAAAATAAACACACAACTACACAAAACGACACACACACAAGCAAGAAACAACATACACACAAACAAAATTAATACACACACGCACACACACACACACTCACGCGCACACACGCACGCACGCATGCACGCACGCACACACACACACACACTCGCGCACACACACACGCACGCACGCATGCACGCACGCACACACACACACACACTCACACACACACACACACAAATAATCAGAAACACTGCTGCTTTACACCTCTGTGCTTGTAAGGATGTTTTTCCAGTGTTTGTTTGTGGATTTCTTTCTCCCGCTACATTTGATAGTGAATATCTCTGGTGCTCTGACACTGCTAAAGGTTTTAATCCGGAGCTAAACGTCAAAAACTGCAGCAAACGGCTGAATAAAAAAATGGATTTAAGGAAATAAATTAAGTCTGGAAGGAGATTAAAGGACAAAAAACCCAACTCCATCTCCCTTCCTCTTTCGTTTGTAAAGTCTGCGCTGGATTTCTGAAATGAGCTTTCTTATCAGGGTGGCAGGATGTCATCAAGGTATACAATGTTGAACACAATGTCTGAAAGCATGTCTTGTCCACTAATAGGCTTTCATCTTTTTTTTGGACACAACGTGTTTGGCGTGATTTGTTGCAATTTTCAGACCAGCGCAACTCTAATTTTCCAGTCTTGCGCCACGTTGTTTAAATAGCTAATCCATTTGCGCCACTTTGTGAGTTCATGGGCTTGCTGGTCTATAAAGTTAGTGTGTTAAGGCGCATTGTTATTGCTATTTTGAGTAACTGAAATGGATTGTGCAGGGATGTGATTCTTCCGTATAAATACCTGCCTCATTTCGGACGTCATTTAGGTATAATGATATTGTGTAGTCCTTTAATAGTTTTGAAACAAATCTTTGCGCTTAACAAACTAAACTAAATATGTAGGCTAAAGGATGTCTTCAATGGAGTGCGTACAACACCATTTCCCTATACACGAAAGTAAAGGAGTAAAGAATAAAAGTAAAGAAAAAGTAAAGACGCCGAATGGAGAAGGCTCATTCTTTATCCTCACACTGCAGATGGTCTGTTTAACTGTTTTCTCGCTAGTAGAGCATTCAGTTTTTCCACTTGCAAAGTCCGCCATGTAAATAGCAAATGCGCCATGGCGTGACGCAACTGGCTCTTAAAGGGAATGTGAGTTGAGACTCTGACTGGTTTATTCTCAAAACACCCATAATTCATTAAGAGAATAAGCACAACCCTGTTAGACCATGCATGGCGTATATGCCCTTAATGCTTTTGCACCATGCACTTTAGGGGCTCTATTTTGATGATCAATGTGCAAAGTCCAAAGCGCAGGGCGCAAAAGTATTAAGGGTGTGTCAGAATCCACTTTTTCTATTTTAAGGATGGAAAAATCTACTTTGCGCCATGGCACATGGTTTATTAGGGTTGAGTTTATTCTCTTAATGAGTTATGGGTGTGTTATGAGAATAAACCGATCCGAGTCTCATCTCCTATTCCCTTTAAGAGTCAGTTGTGTCATGCTATAGCGCATTTGCTATTTACATGACAGCCTTTGTAAGTGTAAAAACTGAGCGTTTCACTAGAGAGAAAACAGTTAAACAGACCATCTGCAGCGCGAGAATAAGAGATGAGCCTCCTCATTCTTTACTTTCACTTTCACTCTCGTGGCTAGGGAAACGTGTTGTACGCACAGACATCTATAAGCTTATACATGATTAATTTAGTTTGTTAAGTGCAAAAATCCTTTAATTATTTTTCATATGAAAAGATATTTGCGTATTGCTCTACATCCTGTGTGTTCAAAGCAATGTGTAAACAAGGCGCACTAATAATGCACTCTGTGCTGGACTATAGACCTGCTTTGATCTGGTCTATTGAATAGTCTAGATTCTCAAAATAGCAACACCCCAGCAATGCGTCTCAACACACCTCCTTTTTTAGACCAGAACGCCTATGGGTGCACATTTGAGAACAAATGCATTTGCTATTTAAACAGCGTGGTGCAACACATCAAAACGACTCTTGCGCCGAGATGAAATTAGAAAACAACACTTGCGCCGGGTGTATGATAGAGCCCTGAATGTTGTGCCTCAATCGTTAAAATAAAGCCCATAGATTTTAATTTAAGTGCATGACTTTTAAAGTGATAAAGTTCATCCAAATAAAAAATAAAAACTTAAAGGAATAGTAACCCAAAATTAAAGAGTTGAGATACAAAAACCTCTAAGTGGCATCTGGAATTTTATTCTAAATTTCAGGCTCATATGTGTAGAAATTTCACTTTTATGGCAAAGAATATTCTATTTTTATTGTCTTTAACATAAAATAAACAGTGTTGGGCACAATACTTTAAAAGAGTAATTAGTTATAGTCATTGGTTACCTCTTACAAATAGTAACTGAGTTAGTAACATCATTATAAAAATAACTAAAAGTAACTATTGCGTTAATTTAAAACAAATTTAATTTGTCAAATGACTATAAATATGAAACACTGTACACTAATCTACGCTATTTTAATGGTGTTGTGGAACAGTGTGAGAAACAAAAGCAGTATGTCCTCATCTATATATCGAGATTTTATTTAGTTTAATTATATTTAAGTAATAAATGTTTGCGGTGGAGAAAAATTTACTTTAATTTGCTTTAACCTTGTGCCTTCGTCTCCTCGTTTGCTAGCAGATCTCACGTTATCACTTGCGTAGCCAAGCCAGTAATTTTGTGGCGGCATGTGACAATGTGAGGTGCTTCATTAGATTAGAATTACTGTCTCTTTTTTTCCTGGGTATAAGTTGCATGATACATAAACATTCTTGCCTTCAACCTCAACGAGGGAAAAGTAGTGCTTATATTTCCAGTTTGCAAATGCTACCTTTGAACATGTTGCGTTTGCTATCGTTCTGACTCCTGGTCATTTGTGTGTGCCACTGACTGTGCTTGTGCGTGAACACTGGCAATACTCTTCCTTTGATTGGCAAATGCTGGAAACATACTCTATCTAAGCCAATCACGTTCTCAGTTACACCACGCTCACAAATACAAGAATATGAAATAATAAAAACTGTATAATAATAATAATTATTAAGAGGTTACAATAAAAAGAAATAGGAAATTCTGTGAAAAATAATACAGTATAATAATTTATAAAACCTCTTACAAATGCATCAATTCACAAACTTGTTAAACTGGATTTTAATCATCACCTTTCAGGGTTGTATCCCTCCAGCTCTTCCAGGAATGTATTGGTATTGGAGTATTGGTTCTCCGGGCTGGGTGTGATGAGGAACTTAAGGACGGTTCCCCTAGTAGAACCGAGGAAAACCACAGTACGATTGCGATGAGGGCCTGCCTCGGTGTCCACCACCATAGTGTTCAACTGGTACCTTCAAAATGAGCAAAATAAAACGCACAGTTAAGCAGATGCTTATTGCTTCTATAAAAACACAGTTGCAACATCAATATAATGAAAGACTAATATAGATTAGGGATATAACCCCGGTGTCCTGGCCAAAGTCCCTCAATTGGCACTCATAATCATAGCCTCCCAATCATCCCCATTCATCGAATTGGCTCTATCACTGTCTCTCCACTCCACCAAATAGCTAGTGTGTGTTGAGCGCACTGGCGCCGTTGTCCTGTGGCTGCCGTCGCATCATTCAAGTGGATGCTGCACACTGGTGGTGGTGTGGAGAGACCCCCCCCCCTCATAATTGTGAAGCGCTTTGGGTGTATGGCCATACACAATAAGGCCCCGTTTACACTAATGCGTTTTCATTTTAAAATGCATACATTTTGTTATGGTTACGTTATCCATCTGCACTACGCCGGAGTTCTCGAGCCGCGAAAATGGAGCGTTTTGAAAACGCTGGAGAGGCCGTTTTCATTCTGAAACGCTGCTGCTCCGTCTTAGTGTGGATGAGGAAAACGGAAACATCTGAAAACCGATGCGGGACTGCTGAGATTCGCTACATGATTGGGGCTTTTGTTTCATTGCCTTCGTCACTTTCTCTTTCCCTTATTCGTCAAGCCTCTATCACATGACTATAACACATGGCTTTAACGCTACCGGAAGACAGTACTGTAAACAACAACATGGGCACAGAAATGGGAGCGTTGTTTGCACTATTGTCTGTTTTAGGCGCCATTGTGCAGTTATTCATTTGATACGTTTAGTAACAACTCGACCTCGTCGTCTGTCCACAAAATACCTCTTTTGCTTTCTTTGTCATCGCGTTTAATGTTCAACCGGCGTTTGTTGACTAACAATAACCAAATGCCGAGCGAGACGCATGCTTTCTGTTTATACTAGAACGCGCATGCCCAGAGTGCGTGAATGGTCATGTGATATACGTTTTTGGTGGCGTAGTGTGGACGGAGATATGTTCAGAGTCGCTAGGTAAAACGCTACTGTGGACGCGGATCGTTTTTGATCTAAAATGCCATTTTAAAACTAAAACGCACTAGTGTAAACGCAACCTAAATGAGCTTTATAAATACACATTTCATTACATTACATATTGATAGAAAAGTATATTTTCAGCTATTGGCAGTTGCCTATTAATATAGCACATTTAAACAGCATAAGTTTTAGTTTAACAACTTTATTAATCCCACCAGGGCCAATTAAATTAGAGCAGTAGCATTTCATGATACATCAAGCACATAAAAAGACAAATCACTTATAAACAATGCATAAAAAAATAGAGGCCTGCTTCATAATAACTTTATAAATAGTACTAAAAAAATAGGAAGGATATATATTAATCGTCTACTCTTCCTTGTAGATGAGCACTGACATACTTTCTGAGGAATCTGAATTTCATGATCTGAATTTCTGGTTTAGAATTTTAGGATATTGAATTTTATGATCTGAATTTCTTCATCTTGAAAATTTGAAACTGTATTTTTACAGTATATACTGGATTTCTGCAGTCTGTGAATTCAGAACACAAAACATCTGAAGTTTGAAAATACCTCTGTGAAAAAATTTCTGCCTCAAAAAATTTAAATTTCTTAAATTTTAGATGTTCAACATTCAAGTTATATATATGTATAAAATTCAAGTTATGAAATTTAAAATAAAAACAATTTCTGACGGCATATAAAAATTCAGGTTTATTAAATTACAATTGTCAATAATTCAAAGGAACACAATTCAAATTCAGATTGTTTTGGCATATTTTTAGTTCCATACCTGAAATTTAGATTGTTTTGGCATATTATTAGCTCCATACTTCTAAACCTTCTTCCAGAGAGCAACAGAACAAAAAAAGGCTTCAGAGAATGGGAGTCATCTCCTATCACACTTTGAATTCTCCTTATCATTTTTTTAATATAACTCTGCTAGACTCAGCACAGGTAAACCAATAATCTAGAAACCAAGTTTCAAAGATGATTTTTGTCTCTAACGGAAAATGAGGAGAACCAGCATAAAAAAGAAAAGCTTAATATAATCTCAATATAGATAAAAAAACAAAAGAACATTTCCTAAGAACATACATTCTCTGATGCACTTTCTTGGCAACAGCTTCTGAGTTCTGCTGGAACTTTAATGTGGTATCAAAGATTGTACCAAGATACTTTTATTCTCGTACTCTTTCAACTTGTTTTCCAAACCCATCTTGCACCTCTGAGGCGTTTTTTTTCTAAAATCAATTACCATCTCTTTTATTTGTGTTACTTTCAGTTGTAGTTCAGATTCTTTGCACCACTTTAAAAACTAATTATGATTATCGCTGTCATTACAATCTGCATTTGTTAACAAGGAAAAAAAACTCATGAGTATGAGCATATTTGATTATATGGCAATTGTCCTTAGAGCTACGAAATTAATTTGTGTACAATTTAAAAAGAATTGAGGACTGCACGCAACCCTGTGGAGATCCTATAGATGTAAAAAGCATGTCTGAAAGCACTCCATACAACATAATATTAAAATGAAGATATTATGCCAGTTTTTACAAGATTTAAAATAAGTCTCTGATGTCTCTATAGAGTGTGTATGTGAAATTTAAACTCAAAATACCTTGAAACTAATGTTGTATAACTCTTTGAAACTCACCCTTTTAGGCTTTGGTCCTAATTGTGCCATTTTTGTGACTGCCGCTTTAAATCTCGAAAGAGGGTGGAGCTACAAATGATTGACATTCTCCCTTTGTACGTGTCATCAGAAGGGGAAAGCCCCACCCATTAGTAACAATCTCTCCCTCATTAGCATAGGACGCTAGTCTTGTTTTTGAATCTGCCACTATGATGACACAGGGATTTGTAGCTCCGCTTTTTTTTTTTTTGAAAACAGCACAATCTCATTTTAATTTAAACCGACAGTCACCAAAGGGGTGATTTCAGTTATAAAGTTATAAAACATCATTTGTTTGGTATTTTGAGCTGAAACTTCACATACACATTATAGGGACATCAGAGACTTATTTTATCTCATGTAAAAGAGGCATAATAAGTTTCCCTTTAACATTACTGAAAAGGGTTTGTTTACAAGTTTAAGAGAACTTTGGCAGACTGCAAGTATGTTCCGAGAGCATTCTCTTATAACTGTAGGGTTAATTTTTTTGTTTTGTGCCAAGGGTCACAACCATGTATGCCATTTATTTGACAATAACCTTAACATAAATAAGATTTAACTTCTGCTGCTATTTGCTTTAAATTAATTTTGTATAATTGTTACAGCTTTAGTGCATTTCTCACAACACTATTTACATTTGCACAACAGGTCATGCATTTCTCAAAACAATTAGTCATTTGTGCACATCCTAGTAGCAGTTTCTCATTCCTTTCAACAAATTGCAAATGCTTTCAGACATGCATCAATTGCTTTCATACAACTCTCTGCCATTTATAACATTATCATGTGCTTATGTCAGGTCATTCAAAATTAACTAAACTTGTAAATGCTGAATAGTCAGTCCATATAAAATGTGGAATGTAATAGTTCTCATTTCATTACTTGAGTCTTTAAATACAAAAATGTTGAACTTGTTGTCAAAATCAGTCGAGCAAACTTTATAAAAAAAAAAATTTATCTTTATTTTCCTGAAAATGTCTTTACAATTGAACAATCTGATGAATGATTTACAGACCTGTGTATGTTGGAGGTTCAGTTCCAATATGTACTGCAATATTGTGTACAGTTGTGCAAAGTTCAACCCAAAGGGAGTTTCTGTTTGATGTAAATAAGGGTGTATTTATTCTTTTGCACAATGCTGTGAATAAATTAGAATTGCAGAGAGCAAATGCAGTAAAAATTTGAAACATACATAATCAGTTTCTTGTACTCGGATACCTTACTAAATGCAGTGATGTCTAACTTTACTGTAGTTTTCAAATGGCTGTGCAAATATAGTGCTGTCTTGAGCATTTTTAGGAAGTGTCACCAAAATCTGACTTTTTTGCATTGAAAAAATGTACAGAGTAAACTGTCATAATGAAATCATAATAAAGCCATTTGACTATCTTGTCAGGACTTTTCGTTTTGATGACACTGACACTTTGATTGACATGAATACTTGCTTTTGAGGAATGAACAATCCATTTTAAATATGTGACGCACTTTTGCACGTTATCAACTAGGTTTTGCAGTTTGTACTAATTGTTTCGAGAAATGCATTAACTGTTGTGCAGAAATGCACTAGTGTTGTGAGAAATGCACCAAAGCAACTGAGAAAAACTGTAATACAAAAAAAAATAATAATTAAAAGGCAACATGACAGATTAGATTTGTAATTTCTCTCTCTGTTGAGATATATAACATAAATAGGTGTAAAAAGGGCTTATTTAGATTAAAGTTAGCAAGTAGTCATCTGCTGACCCACACCTATTTTTCATTTTAATTTACTTTTTTTTTTTACTTTTATTTTTTCTCCAAGCTGTTCAATTTTTGTGATGCGCCATTTTTAGTTATTTTTTTGTTTTGTTCTGATCACTGTAAAAATGACTTTTCTTTCTTAAAGTTTTTGTCTTATTTCTAGTCCAAATATGTCAAAATTCTCAATTCAAGAAGCATTTTTTAGACAAGCCAAAATTATTGTCTTGTTTTCAGAAATATGTCAAAAATAAATGTTTTTTGGTTTCAAAGCAAAAAGTTTCATTGCTTGTCTAGAAAAAAAGATTTTAATTGATACATTTTCAGATATTTGGACTAGAAACAAGACAAAAACCCATTTTATTTGCTGTAATAAGATAAAAACTTTACATTAATAATGAATTAAATGTCCACCTTTTTCTCACTCATATATCAGAACAACAACACCCTTCTTCAGGACTGTTTACCTCTAGTTTTAGTGAAAGGACCCAGCGGCCATTTCAATCTTTTTTTAAAGCAAGGTGATTTATTGATAGATTTCCTTCTCTGCTCACAGATGTTTTGCTACGGTTACTCTCTGAGGCTGAAGGCCTCAGGCAATTTGCTCTCTGCGGAAGCACTTCTAGAGTTCAGATTTATAATTTAACTAAGGTATTTTTTCCCCACTAACCTTGAGAGACGCCATAGGAGCGATTTTAACGCAGAATTATGTCCATTGAGTATAAAAGCTACAAACATTAGCCCTTCTACAGCAGAGCTCTGGCTTTGATTCCTGATATATCAGCCAATTTCTGTTTAAGCAGCGCCGCTTTTAGGAGGCCTTGAGAAATTTTGCTTCACCTTTTCAACTCTCAGAAACACACTTCATATAACAAGCATCTTGGGGTTTGCTGATGTATCCTGTTTCCTTTTTTTGTTTTGTTATGTTTTCCTTTTTCTTACCGGACCATGGTCTTGACTATCCAGGGTCTGTGTCCTAACAAAGGAACCGCTTCGTCCATCAGAGGATGGATTTTGATGAAATTAAGCACTTCGTCAGGGAGGGTGTTGGAGGTGCTGAATCTGGAGCCCTGGACAGCACATCCTCCAGGCCTTAGAGAGTAACAAATCCACATATAAAATTTAAACATTTCTAAACGCAATGCTTCTTTATGTGCTGTACAAAAATCCAGACAGACAGACAGACAGACAGATAGATGGATAGATGGATGGATGGATGGATGGATGGATGAATAAATGGATGGATGGATGATGGATGGATAGATGGAACAATAGATAGATGGATAGATGGATGAATGGATGGATAAATGGATGGATGGATGGATGGATGGATAGATGGAACGATAGATAGATAGATAGATAGATAGATAGATAGATAGATAGATAGATAGATAGATAGATAGATAGATAGATAGATAGATAGATAGATAGATAGATAGATAGATAGATAGAAAGAAAGAAAATGAGATAGATAGATAGATAGATAGATAGATAGATAGATAGATAGATAGATAGATAGATAGATAGATAGATAGATAGATAGATAGATAGATAGATAGATAGATAGATAGATAGATAGATAGATGAAAATGATTGGTGGATACATGAATTGATGAACAGATTAAATGGTGGATGGATGGAAAGACAGATGGAAAATTATTCAAGGAGGGATGAATTGTTAAAAAATGTTTATGAAGGGACTGATGGATAAATACATCAATTGATGGATGAAAGGAAGGGCAAATGAGTGGATGGATGTTAGATGGATAAAAATGATTGATGGATAAATAGATGGATGGATTAAATTATTGATAGAAGACTGTAGGGATGAAAAATGATAAGCGGATGAATGGATTTATGTCTAAAATAATTGATGAACTGATTTTCTGGTGGATTAATGGATGGATGAATGCATAACAAATTATGCATAAATTAATGAATAAATGTATAAACTGGTGGATGAATGAAACCGATCAATCATAACATGATGGATTGATGGACAAATGTATGCATGAATGGATGGGTTTATAGATGAAATAATATATTAATGGAGGAATTGATGGATGGATAAAATCATGGATGGATACATTAATGGATTGACAAAAATAGTGGATCAATTGATGGATGGATGAGTGGGTAAAAGACAGAAAGGAAGGAAGCATGGATGGATGGATGGATGAAGAACCGAAAGAAAGGAAGGAAGCATGGATGAATGGATGCATGTATGACAAACACAAAGAAAGGAATGAAGCATGGATGAATGGATGGATGGATGAAAGACAGAAAGAAAGGAAGGAAGCATGGATGAAATAATGGATGGATGAAAGACAGAAAGAAAGGAAGGAAGGAAGCATGGATGAATGGATGGATGTATGAAGGACAGAAAGAAAGGAAGGAAGCATGGATGAAATAATGGATGGATGAAAGACAGAAAGAAAGGAAGGAAGGAAGCATGGATGAATGGATGGATGTATGAAGGACAGAAAGAAAGGAAGGAAAAAAGCATAGATGGAAGTAAGAAAGAAAAACAAAGGTAGGAAGGAAGGAAGCATGGATGGGTGAAAGAAAGAAAGAAAGAAAGAAAGAAAGAAAGAAAGAAAGAAAGAAGAACGGACGGACGGAAGTCAGAAAAAAGGAAGGAAGCATGGATGAAAGAAAGAAGGAAGGAAGGAAGGAAGGAATGATGAATGGATGGATGGATTGATGGTTAGATGATGGATGTATCAAAAGCAGAAAAAGGGAAGGAAGGAAGCATGGATGAAAGAAAAAAGGAAGGAAGGAACAATGGATGGATAGAAGTCAGAAAAAAGGAAGGAAGGAAGCATGGATGAAAGAAAGAAAGAAAAAATGAAGGAAGGAAGGAAGGAAGGATGGATGCATGGATGGATGGATGGAAGTCAGCAAAAAGTAAGGAAGGAAGCATGAAAGAAAGAAAGAAAGAAAAAGGAAGGAAGAAAGAAAAAAGGAAGGAAGAAAAAAGGAAGGAAGGAAGGAAGGAAGGAAGGAAGGAAGGAAGGAAGGATGGAAGACGGACATGTGTAGATGGACAGACAGTTACCTGGGTCTTGGCACCAGTTCATCAGGTACTGGTGTCCATATGGATTCTGGTGATTTCTGCTCTTTGAATCTGCCCTCAAACACACGTGCCAGCTGCTGCATGTCAAACGCACACACCGCAGAGCCGGGGATGCTGGGTAAAGACACAGAGCAGAGCGGGTCAAGAAACATCTCTGATCCAATCCACACCCTGAACACACACACACTCACACATTTTCACACATGTTGTTACCCTAAGCCAAAGTGACATGCCGCAACAGCCCCATTGGTTTTTCTGAAGCTGACAGACTAATCGACCAATCTGCCTCTACAGCATCTCATTATAGAGCGTCTTCACACACTCCCATCAGATTGATCAAATTCAGCTTGATGAGAGTAAGCCCACCATACTTACAAAAGACTGTTTTAAACAACTGAAGCTACAGTCATATCAAAAAACTGTCCTTGGCAATTCTTAAAATGTATATATAAAAAAATAAATGTATAAAAAATAAAAAGTAGACTGTTCAGTTGGGGTTGGGTTAGGGTTAGTATAAGTTGACATGTACTTGAAAAGTTTCTTATTGTCAGTGAAATGTCTGTTGAAGGAGCAATATCAACATACTGTATATTAACTAGACAGTCTACTAATACTCAAATGGACCATCAAAATAAAGTGTTACCAATAAATGAATAAAAAATTAATTAAAATAAAACAATTAATAAAATGAAATAAAACTAAATTATTAAATTAAAATAAATAAAAGTAAATAATTAAAAATAAAATTTAAATAAATAAATAAAATAAATACAAATAAAATAAAACTAATTAAATGAAAATAAATAAATAAATAAATAAGTACAAATAAATACAAATAAAATAAAATAAAATAAAACTAATTATATGAAATAAAATAAATAAATACAAATAAAATAAAACAAATAAAATTAAAATATAATAAATAAATAAATAAATAAATAAGCATTAAGACATTTTATTAGCAGTGCCTGATTTTTTTTTGTTCTTTTATTTGTTTTTGTTCATCATTTTATTTTCACAAATTTTAAGACCTGACAAAGATCAAATTATTATTATATCCTAATATGGAAAAATTTGGAATTTAATAAGGTGCCCTAAGTTTTTTACATGGCTGTATAATTATATATTATATATTATATATATTATTATAATACTATATATTATATAATATATTATAATATTATATAATATATTATGATATATATATATATATATATATATATATATATATATATATATATAAATTATAAAAGGGGTTTTTACACAGTTGTGTGGCAACAGTTTGTTAATATATCCAGTTTCTAATGGTAACATTTTTTTATAATCACACTTAATAAAAACAGTCTGCAGAAACACTTTGATTGACATTCTCCCTTATGTGTCATCAGAGGGAAAAAGCCCAGCCCATTAGTGACCATCTCTCCTTCATTAACATAGGACGTTAGTCTAGTTTTTGAATCTGCCACTATGCTGACACACAGGCATTTGGAGCTCCGCCGTATTATGAAAAGAGCACAATCTCATTTGAATTTAAAGCGACAGAAAACAAAATGACACAATTAGGATCAAAGCCTAAAAGGGGCAGTTTCAAAAAGTTATAAAACATTATTAGTGTGGTATTTTGAGCTGAAACTTCACATACACACTCCAGGGACTTAATGTGGATCTTGTAAAAAGGGGCATAATAGGTCTCCTTTAAATATCTGACATAACAGAAAACATAATTTATTTTCAACCATGCTATATATCTTTGGCATTTTGCAAAAGCCTGGTTTTGTGGTCTTGGGTCACATACAACAACACAGCACACATACACATATTTCTGAATGACACTTTCCTTGGATTTTTAGTCAAATAAGAACCTAGTCACTATATGATTTCAACATATAGATAAATGGACAGACAGACAAAAAGACAGAGAGACAGACTGGATCTATAAAACACCTTCTGGGTTTCACGTAAGAAATACTTCTCTGGAAAGACACAATGCTGAATTAATGATGACAGTTTTATTAGTATGGCGAATTCTTCCTTTTAAAAAAGAAAGACTGGAAAAAATATATATAGCAGGAAAATATTACGGTTTGATGCACATGAAACACAAAGGAAATCGTAGATCAGTCAGACACCGAAGAGAAGTGTAAAGTGAACTGCCAGGATGGACAAGTGCTGTGTGTATGTGTGTCTGCAGGTGTTCACCATGTGTTCTATGGCAGCTTGTCTTTCTCTCTCTCTCCAAACAGCAGGAGGTCAGATGGACGGTTGAGGAAACTTGGATCCTCTTCTGTGTCCAGATTTCAGCCACAACAGCACAACAAATCGCACCCAAGGCTGCTTTTGGCACGCAAGCTCACGGAAAATATGAAGAGATCGATTCTGGCATGCTCTGATGCGTACGGTTTAATCAAAATGAACTCTAGATCACTGTCGTTTGGGGTCAGTAATTTTTTAAATGCTATTGATTCAGCATTTATTAAATTAATCAAAAGCGACAGTAAAAAGGTTTATAGTGGAAAACGACTGAAAGAACGGATTATTTTTTAAAATAAATCTTTTATTTTAATTCAAAATGAATTATTTTGATCTTTCTATGTATGAGTCCAAATCAGCGTTATATTTGCTCTGTTTGCTGTAATGCATTTTACAAATAAATGCAGATTTGTTTAACATTACAGGAATGTCATTATTTAATACAATTTTACCAAAATTACCAAAACCTAAATTTCTTATTAAAATAAAGACTTACATATAAAAAAACTAAATTCTAAGTTCTTATTAAAATATTATTATTTTAAAAATGCAGCATATATTGTTTTATATTATATATTATATTATTTTATTTTTCATTATATTATTTTATATTACATTACATTACGTTACATTACATAATATTTATTACATTATATTATATTATATTATATTATATTGTATTATATTATATTATTATATTATATTATATTATATTATATTATATTATATTATATTATATTATATTATATTATATTATATTATATTACATTACATTTTCCCAGAGATGGGTTGCGTCTGGAAGGGCATTGGCTACGTAAAAACTTGCTGGATAAGTTGGCGGTTCATTCCGCTGTGGCGACCCCGGATTAATAAAGGGACTAAGCCGACAAGAAAATGAATAAATGATGAATTATATTAGATTACATTACATTATATTTTATTTTATTTTATTACATTACAATATATTATATTAAATTAAATTATATTATATAATATTTTATTACATTACATTACATTACATTATATTATATTATATTATATTGTATTATATTATATTATATTATATTGTATTATATTATATTATATTATATTATATTATATTATATTATATTATATTATATTACATTATATTATATTATTATATTATACTTTATTTTATTACATTACAATACATTATATCATACAAATTTACCCATAATTCTGTAAATAGCTTTGAATAAAGACATTTTTGAGATCTAACTAAACGTATCATATTTTATCATTTTGCTTAAAATTTTTGCTAATTAGAATTTATTAATCAAATCTGCATAATTAATAATAACTAATGAATAATCATTCAAATTTCCTACAGGTTTTTATTCATAACAAAAATGTAAATTTAAACTAAATTAATTCTACTTGTCTAAAAAAAGTTTTTTTTTTCTCGATACTGTTACATTTCAGGAGTGTATTACATAAAATGAATAATAATCTAATCAAATATTAATAATTCATGATAACAAGTTATGATTAATAATTCACATTTCCTATGAGCTTTTATTTCACACCAAATTTTTTATTTTAAATAAATTAGTTTACTTGTCCATAAAAAGTATTACTTTGTCTTTTAATTTTGCTTATTTTTACATGTAGAAAATGTATAATTAATTAATAAAATCTGCATAATTAATAATAAATGATTACGATGAATAATTCATATTTCCTTTAACCTTTTTGAATTTTAAATAAATGAATTGCACTTGTTCATAAAATATGATTTTATTTCTCTTTACCTTTCTTAGGAGTGTATTACTGGTAAAAAAAAACAAAAATCTGCACAATCAATTAATCAAATCTGCATAATTAAAATAAATAGTTATGATTAGTTATTCATATTTCCTAAAAGCTTTTGTTTACTTTATAACAAAAAAAGTGAATTTTAAATAAAGGAATTTTACAAATTATTATTAGTTTAATATCGTCACGGCAAAGATCAAATAAATCAGTTATTATGAATGAGTTATTAAAACTATTATGTTTAGAAATGTGTTGAAAACAAAATCTTCTCTCCATTTAACATAAATTGGGGGAAAACATAAACAGGGGGGCTAATAATTCAGGGGGGGGGGGGGGGGGTTAATCATTCTGACTTCAACTGTATTTCCTAGAGGTTTCCTTTGTTTCATAACAAAAGCAAACATTTTAAATAATAAAAAAAAAACTTTTCCATAAAAAGTGTCATTTTGTTCTCTTAACATTTTTTTTGATTGTATTACATGAAAAAAGAAGCATAATTCATTAATCAAATATGCATAATTCATAATAACTAGCTAAGATTAATTATTCACACTTCCTTAGAGATTTTGTTTATTTCATAATAAAAACCCAAATTTTAAATAAATGATTTTGACTTGTCCATAATAGGTATAAGTTTGTCTTTTTTCTTTGCTTCAGATTATATTACATAGAAAGTTTTCATAATTTACAGCAAGTTATGATTAATTATTCATAGTTCCTACAAGCTTTTATTTTATTTTATACCAAACACATGAATTTTAAATGAATTTTACTTGTCTATAAAAAAATGTCATTTTTTTCTCTTTGGTTTGCTTAGAAGTGTATTACATAAAAGCAGAATTCATAAATGAAATCTGCATAACTTCTAAAAATAAATAAACAAATTTTACTTCTTCGTAAAAAGTATAATTTTGTCTCGCTGCTTAGGATTATATTACATGTACAAAAAAGAAACATAATTAATTAATCAAATCTGCATAATTATTTAAGATTAGTTATTCATATTTCATACAAGATTTTGTTTACTTCATAACAAAAATGTGAGTAAAAAAAAAGAATTTTACTTGTTCATAAAAACTATGTTTTTT